ACAAATTATATTTATTATGATACTATCGGTTTCTGCTTGACTATATAGTAATATATCATTTATTGGCACTTTAATATTACCATAAGAATAAATATTATAAAAAAATTTTTTTTATTATTTAAGGTACCGACATTGTTGCGTTCATTACTTATGTATTTAAACTTGGGTAATAAAAGAAATCAAAGTACAAAACTATTGTACAACCTTCAGATTTGGGTGTGCTCTGGTGAGCCACTGGCACATTCGTTAGCGCTGAACTTTTTTGACTATTTTGAGGAAGGAGTGCACACACTTTTTAATTTTTATGGTTCAACTGAAGTCATGGGGGATGTTACGTTTTTCACCTGCGAAAGCAAAAAACAACTATCTTCCTACGATCGTATTCCTATCGGTATAAACTACTTCTAATGTTTTCTAACTTATGCTCAACTAATAAAACAAACTTCTAGGTATCCCGATTTATAACACTGTTTTATACCTGCTTGACTCAGATTACAGACCTGTAAAGAATGGCGATATCGGAGAAATATTTGTGGCAGGCTTAAATTTAGCAAATGGTTACGTAAATGGACGTGATCCCGAACGATTCATCGATAATCCCTTGGCAATGGAGTTAAGTAAGTTAATTTCATTCAATCATTTTACAAATACATTTAAAACTATGATTTCTTGTTGCTTTTATTTCTTATTCGATTGATTTTATATAAAGTAAAAAGCTCATTTAAGCACTTTCATAAATAAATTCTATAAGATGTTTTATAAATAATTACTTTCACAACAGAATATTCCCGTATTTACCGAACTGGTGACTATGGATCCTCACAGAACGGTTGCATTATGTATGAAGGACGCACAGATTCTCAAATAAAAATACGTGGTCATCGTGTTGATTTGTCCGAGGTGGAAAAAATTGTATCTGAGCTGCCTATTGTTGATAAGGTCATTGTTTTATGCTACCATGTAGGACAAGTCGATCAAGCCTTATTGGCGTTCGTCAAGTTAAATGAGAATGCACCATTGCTAAATGAGTTACAAATTGAAGCCAAACTGAAAGATAAACTTGCCGAATATATGACTCCACAAATTGTGCTTATTGAGCATGTGCCTCTACTTGTTAATGGAAAAGTCGACAGACAGAGTTTATTAAAAATGTATGAAACTGCAAATAATAACGAAGGTGATAACAGTATTGTGCTTGACTATGATTATTCTTTGGTTCCTGACGAACTTAAACCGGCTGCACGAGACTTGTTCGAAACAGTTGGTCAAGTTATTGGTCGTTCCACACGTGCTACTCTAGCGCTGCAAAGTAACTTTTACAACTTGGGTGGTAATTCTTTAAACTCTATATTCACGGTAACATTATTGCGTGAAAAAGGATATAGTATTGGTATATCTGAGTTCATTGCTGCAAAAAATTTAGGAGAAATACTAGAGAAAATGGTAACAAATAGTAATAAATCAACCGATGAAGATTGGGTTACCGCTTGTCCTCACTTAAATATGGAAGCAATTCCACTGAATGATTCGCACAAAAATGATGTTATTCAGTAAGTTCTTTATGGTAAATTATTTTACATTAATGATCCCTAAATTGTATTATTATAGGATTATAGTCGACAGTTTCTACGGTAAAGCCGATTTGGAACAGTGGCTTAAGCCAGATATTTTACGTACAGACTATAGCGATCTAATACAGGTAATTACACTTCACACAATCGTTACGAATTCTCATTTTTATACTTCCTCTTTCTATACTTCCTTATTTTTGATTTAAATTACAAAAATTTGCTTGTTTCGTGCAAGCGTAACAACTCATTTGCTCTTTCGAGTCTGACTTTTTGCTCTTTCGAGTCTGACTTTTTGTTGCTTTTGTGTAATATTTTTCGTCTTTTGAAACTTGTAAAATGATATCTTAAGCTCATTTTGGAATATACGTCGAATGCTTCATTTCTTGTGCCACTGGATTAGACGCTTGTGGTAGCTTGTAAACAATATAAACAGCTGTCATTCGTATGAATTTGACGTAGTTGGCAATATCAATTAAGCAGATATACCTGTGTGTAGTTAGTAACACTTCAATCGCTTAACCCAGTATATAATGTATTTTTTTAGTCCTTAAAGAATCATTTTTATAATTGTATCAAAAAAAATTTTTTTTTCTAATTCCAGGACATATGGAAGCCATTAGTAGAAAAAAATTTAAGTTTTGTTGTGCGTGATAGAAATACTAATAGAAACATTGGTGTTGCACTTAATTTCGATGCACGAGATGAACCAGAGGTAGAAGTTAGATCCAAACTAATTATAGTATTTGAATTCTTAGAATTTTTGGAAGGACCAATAAGGTGAGTCTACTTAAATAATAAGTTAAAAACAAAAATACTAGTAATTTGATTGTAGGGATAACCAACTTCCAAAGGGTCAAAATCAAATTTTACATTCTTTCATGATGGGTACACATGTTGAGTTAAATGCACGGGAAAACATCGCTTGTATGCATTTCATGGAAGATGAAGTACTAAAGGTAGCCACAGCACATAAATTTGCTGGTATTTTAACAACAAATACAAGTCCGTTAACACAGGTAACATTATATTATTTTTTTTTTTTTTTTAATGACTAATGATAACTTTTACAGCAATTGGGTAATGATGTCTATCACTATAACATGTTACTAGATTATCAAGTGAATGAGTATGTCTACAATGATGGAACGCGTCCATTTAGTAACGCACCTGACACACAACGAGCCATAGTGCATTGGCGAGAAATAGGGTCATCACAATAATCACTCACAAAAGATTTCAAATTATGCTTTAACCAACATTGACTAGGGCTAACACACTTAGAGCAATTCGAATTTGTATTTAAATTAATTATTAATATTAAGAAAGCACAATCAAAATTATTGAAAAGTGCAAGTACCTGTTATACATAATTTAGTAGATTCCTAGTTTCACTTAAAACATTAATTGTGTTATGTGTTATTTAATTGTAAGTCGACGTGTATCGTTTTAATAGTATTATTTTAATAAACTTTAGTATGTTGTCAGTAAATATATAGATATACTCGTGATGTTTTATTTTTGATCTGTTAGCATGTAAGACCATTTTATCAGATATTAATCTCTGATTAAGATCTGTAAATAAACATTTTAATTAAATAAAATACATACATTTCTGTCAATTAAAAAAAAATAAAAAATAATGCTTCAACCTAAAACTCCATAACATAAATGAAACCATTTTATGCATTTTATATAGTTTTCACATTCATTATTATTCTATTTAATAAAATCCAATTAAGAATTATATGCATTATACATGTCCATAGAAATAGTAGTATATATACCACTTAATTTATTATATAATTTAATTTGCATACAATCAATTTATGATAGATTGTTTTAGCTCTTTCTTAGTCAAACTAATATTAAATATTTAATTTTACATAATCATATATTCTATTTATCAAGCGTTGGATAAAATTATTTTGTTTAGAATAAAACAAAAAGCAAAAAATTTAGATAAATACAAGCTAATAATTAAGATATTCTATTATACAGTTAATTTTACAACTACAGCACACTTAAATTTTAAAAATATCCATAAAAATTTTATTATTCTGACGTAAATAAAAATATTGCACATAACCAAGCTCTATTTTCTTAAAACTGGATCTGGCTTTTACGGTAAGGCGATACTTTTACTGTACAATATATAGAAAATTAAAATACCAATTCATGTGTGTGGTTTAACATTACATATGTATATATATAAAACCCAAAGCTGATTGTATAAATTAAAGGATTTTCATAAAATCTAAAAGCAATATTAGAAAACTTTTAGCGTCACAATTACATCGAATATTGGATAATTGTATAAATTGAAAATAATTTAAAATAGACATAACCGTTAGTATACATTTTCATGTCATTGTCCAATAAAAGCTGTAAGTTGGTAAAATTTAAAGCAATATGTTAGCATCTTAGATACCACCCTCCAAACTTCGTAGATACTACCAACTTCTATATATAATATCCTTTAAGTTTTTGTGAATCGTTTTTAAGACTTTCAATCAAATGGATTACTCCAATGTTAATAATAAGAAGTTGAACATGGTTCCATAAGTCCATTTGATTTCAAATATTGTTTTTAACTTCATGTTTATGTTTTTTAAAATTTATAAAAAGTATGCTATAGTTATATAAATGAACATAATATACAAATTTAATTTAGTAAATATTCTCCTAGTATATTCATTAAATTTCCTTTGAATCCGGTTGGCCAACAGTAAATTCCGATTTTTTTCGCTAATCTTTTTAGCATCTTTAGCACAGATTAGTGCATTTTGCAAGCGTATTCAATTGTGAAATCAATTAGCATTTCATACTTTTTATATTACAACTGAATTTTGTGCCTGCATTACACTTCCAGTGTCAGAAACTCCACTTTGATCGAGTCGTCGGTAATTTTGGAATGTTTTCCATTCACCAGTATTATAATCTAAACGTATATGGGACTCTACTAAGCATAATGCTGTACTACCATCTTCCTGCTGAACTTTTTCCTAATATGAATCAAAAAGATTTATATAAGAATTACTGCAATCACAAATTTTACTAACATAATATGTACAAAATTTTTACC